GAGAATAAGGTTTTCTGTTTTACAAACTGACAGAAAGCATCAATTCAAAACTAATTCCCAGCAAAGAAAAAGATTTAAAAGGAATAGAAAACTAATATTAGAAGAAGTTCAGAAACTGAGGAAAGACATTAAAAAAGTGAATCAAGAAAATGAAAACTAAGAAAAATGAAAACGTATATTCAAAACATATTTACCGAAACTCAAATAAATGCATTAATGAAAAAAAAAGCGAATTAAATGGTCTCCAGACGACATTTCAAAAAGCATAGTAATCAGATCGTTATCCGTAAAGTCATACGACTTCTGGAAAGAAAAAATGGGTATTCCGCTTCCAAGTACAAGTACACTGAAAAGATGGTGCTCAAGATTCAGTTGCATTCCTGGAATTTTAAATGATGTACTGTTATTGATTAAAAAAACTTGCCACAATGCAACTGACGAAGAAAGATTATGCGTATTAAGTTTCGATGAAATTCATATAGATTCAAGACTCTGTTATGATTCAAAATTGGATCAGATATTAGGTCCTTTTAAAAAGACTCAATTTGTATTGGTTCGAGGACTCATTTCGCAATGGAAACAGCCCATTTATTTTGATTTTGATCGTCAAATGAAGGAAAATCTTCTGTCTTCCATTTTGTTTGCACTTGAATCGTCTGGGCTTCGAGTCAAAGCAATTGTATCTGACATGGGAGGTAGTCAGACCCTTTGGAAAGAATTACAAATTTCAACAGATAAATCTTTCTTTTACAGTCCCAAGTTCAGCACCAAAATATGGGTTTTCGCTGATATGCCGCATTGCATAAAGCTTTTGAGAAACCATTTTCTTGATAAAGGTTTTATTCTCGGAAATGGTACAATTATAAACAAAGACGTTATATATGAAGTACTCAATAAAGATATCGGAGAAATTAAACTGTGCTATAAACTGAAACCTCAATTTTTATCTGTAAAAGGGAACGAGAGACAGAAAGTAGCACCAGCAAAAGCATTATTTTTCCTCCACAACGGCTAAAGCAATTATGCATTTGACTGGTAATGCTGCAACAAGTAATTTTTTTTCAATGGTTGATGATTTTTTTTTGACATTATGAATAGTAGTGTACCATTACCCCCTAGCAATAAGCCTTTAAAAGCTGCTTTCGGCCTAGAAAGCTATTATGAAGTACAAAAAGAAAAATTAAATGAGATTAAGCAAATGATTTTTGATCTCAGAGTATGCGGAAAGAAGACAATGCTACCTTTTCAGAAAGGTATTATCATATCGATAAATTCGCTTTTCGGTTTATTTGACGACGTAAAATCTATAAATGTGAAATATATTTTAACATCAAGACTGACTCAAGATGTATTAGAAAGCTTGTTTAGCCAGATTCGGGGTCTAGGGGTTTTTAATGACCATCCGTCTCCATCAGACGTAATAATTCGTCCTGAAAAGGTTGCTATTGGCAAACAAATTGCCTAAATTGTCGTTAAAGACAAATGCTAATGACTGTGAAGAAAGAAAATTGAAGCATATTTGACAAAAGAGCTGTTAGAAACAGCTTTTTCTTCAAATGAAAAAGCACAAATGTTTGAGTCTTCCTTATACGAAGATGATTTAATTAATTACGAAGACATCTATGATGAATGTACGTCACTTCCTTGGGAAACCGAAATTTATGATTCAACGAAAGATATATCTGCATATGAACAAGAATCGCTCGCTTATGTGGCAGGTTATATTGCATATCGTGTGAAAGATAAAGATCCTACTTTGGGTGAAATATCAAAAAAATTCGTAGATATTCCTAACGACTCAAATTGGATATTTTATTATCTAAAGGAGGATTAACTGTACCATCACCAGTTTGGATGGAAACGATGATGAAAATGGAAAATGCTTTCTGTTCTTTTCATGGCAGTTCTTTTCGAAAAGGTAGAGGTGTAATTCAGAATCTCGTTTCTGAACTTGAGAAACGTTTTCCCTCCGTGAATAAGAGTGCAATTCGTTTATTTTGCCGTTTACGAACATTTATAAGGGTTCGGCACTTGAATAGGAATGCAACCCTTGTATCGGCAAGAAAAGCTGACCAGAAAGCAAATAAATAGATAAAGAGTAATAGAGGATTATCGAACCAAACTGTATAGGAAAAATAATCATGTAAGTTGATTCATATTATTCCTATCAAAAATAATAATTTGAATCATTACTTTGTTTATTATTCACTTAATTTGTGACTTAATTTATGCACGTTTCAGTTAATTATTTGGACTACTATATAAAATATTATATTTATTATATACTAATTTAGACTGCTAAATTTTACTATATAAAATAAACCATGAAATTCTGAATAAACATAAATTAGTATCAGAGCATATACTTTTAAAATGTAAGAATACATGCTATTATTCCAAAATATATAAATACTATTTTAAAATATTTTCATTATTTTTTGAGTAATTGACATTAAATAATAATACTGATACTGATATTCCATAAATAATGCTTTCATAATAGACATTGCAAAAGCTTACAAAATTCTACTACTCATTATCAACGCTAATTGAAAAGCAAAAATGGAAGAAGTGAAATTTGTTTCGTTTTAATGTGTTATAAAATCTATTATTAGCATTAACTAATTTTTAATTAGATAGATGTGTAATGTCTTTAGCATGTATTCTCAAAATGTATTTGCATATTTTTATTTAATATTTCTATAATGCAAATTACTTTGCGACTAACTTATATTTTAACGCAAAAAGAATTCTTCTTCGTAAATGTAGAAATTTACGTATGTTATCGGTGGGTTATTATTTACATATATTTAAAAAGATGATTATGAAAAAGAATTACTACATTTAGGGTACACTCGACCTAAAAAATTAGTTATGTTTTACGCATATGTGTTAATTAAAAAAAATAGTTATGTTTATGCATGTTTTACTTACGTTTTACGCATATTAGAGTTTAACGTAAATACATTTCTAGTTCATATATAAATGCATGTATATTGCAATTTCATGAGCTAAAATCTCGGCTCATACTCGTTATTAAACTATTTTTCAAAGCGTTTTGATTCTCAAGCAAATGCTTAAGAAACTGAACAGCAGCGAACAAGCGAACCCAACTACGTCATCAGTCTCTTCTTTCGGTTTCAGCCGCGAGAAGCTGATGAACTAGCCCTTTAGCCCTGCCCCATATCGGTGAATCCACCATATAACCACCATTAGTAATTTTCATAATTATGAATAAAGTTACTGGTACCATTATCTCATTGAACTGATTTTGGAAAAAGATGCACGATTTTATTTCATTTTTGAGTTTAGCAGATTTATCAAAAATGGAAATTAAAAACACTGCATCCATAATCGGATTCCGGCATTACCATGTTGAAACCTTTATGGAACTGGGGTTCCAAATTAAAACTTACCTTTATAAAGGTTCCGGTACCTTTATGGCAGGACACCCTTATGCAGGCGCTCTCTCGTTTTGTGGATAAATAAATAATTGCATGTATTGAAATCAGCACTCTGTATTAACTTTGCACATGATCCCATGAAACAATTAATTACTAACAACTCCGAGAATTCTAGAATAGTGGATAGAAGTATGGAACTCATTGTATTTAACTTAATGTATGGAACATTTTATTAATTGAATTTTATGATAACCTTATAAAATGTTAAATTTTGTCTTTACAAAACTCTCCTACCCACTGTTAAAGTTGCTGTCATACAGTTTTCCACCTTATGTTGAGGTTCTTACTTAATTGGAATGTGAAGGTTAAATATTTAAAGAACTGGCATTTCACACCCTGTAAAAAGGATTCCAGAGCTGAAGCGTTATTACTTAAAATTTCGAAAACCATAATAGCAACACTTATAGCAGTTTTTCTATAAATTTGTTAACTCAAGCTTCATAATTGTACATCAAAATGAATTTCCGGAATGTCGTTGTAATACATTAACTATCTCTTTAAAATTATGTCTCTTCGAGGATTTAATACGATCAAATTTCAAATTAGGGTTATAGCAGATTACACTCATAAAAAAAAAAACTGCTTTCGCATCAAAATTTGTAGGGTTTTCCTTATTTTGCATAACAAATTTATTTTAAGTTTTCCTGTTCTAAACTTCTCAACTTCCCCTCACAATCTATCGCCAGGATGTAAATTTAAAGTTAAGTGAAGTGCTATTTAAACGTGTGATTATCTTAGTCTATTCAGAGCGTGTTTCGCTAGCCAAGCGCACGTTTCGTTGTTATTTCGCGGTCACGCTAGTAAGGCACGCTCTTGGCCTTATCAGTTTAGTATCACGCCGGTTAGATTTCTGTAAGTCCGCCTCTTAAACGTAAATTGAAGTACGTTTCTTGCACTATTTATTCTTCAGATTTGGCTTTAGTTACCACCTACGTTTAGTTACCACCGCAAGTGAACGGTGGTTTTGTAACGCACGAAGTCCGTGACTTTCTGTAGGATTATTTTGCACTCTTCTGTGCTGTTATTTAATTTACACCTGTGCGAGGATTCGCCAGGTTCATTGTAGGATCTAATTTAGTTTATGTGGGAAAAGAGAGATAGGTCTTACAAATTAACATTTCGAACTTTGATTAAAATTTTTACGCGCTTCTTACAAAATAATTTCCGGTAACCAAAAATAAGCAAAATTAATTAAACACGCGAATTTTAAAATATCATTTTTCTGAATTAGGAAGAATTAGAATTTCTGAATCTGATTATTCTACGGGTTTTGTTTCTAGAAATATTTTTCAATATTAAATACCCCATAATTTCAATTTAGTGCATTGTGAAAATGGTACCTACTTCAGGTTCCAACGTTACGTTATTTTTAGCGTTTCAAACAGAAAAATAATTTCAGTGGAACCAGTTATTTTATTTTAGTCAAGCCATTTTTAGCACTTACAATATCTAGATAAAAAATATGACAGTTAAATAAAAATTTGAAAATGTATAATTTAAATCAACCCTAATATGTACTTGAAACTTCAGACTTACCCAACAAGCTCTGGCGGCAGGTCGTGGCGAAATATCATCTCCGCACGTGGTCACGAGAGGAGCAGGACCGAGGAGTACTGGACCTGGGGACCGTCGCCTCACCGGTTGCTCCAGCTGATGGCCAGGAGAGAGCGGCGCCTTCTGCTGTAGCTGCTGAGCGTACGCCATGCGGAAAGCGGAGCCAACCACTCCGCTCAGTTCTTCCGCCTGCAATGGGAGAAAACGTTCATGAGCGGATTATTTCAACGAAGGACTTGGGACAAAAATAAGCTAAGAACCAATCAAAGGCAGGGAGCACATTTAGGAAGCGCAAAGACACACGACACAGGTCGACAAGGTTTGCATTTAGTTTGAGGTTTAAGATAATTCGTCAAAAATATATGCATTGCAGTATATGAATAAATGCTTTTCAGAATTTAATCTGCTATAACCATTTAATTTTTTCCTCTCTCAGAAAAATGTTTCGACCGTAAATAATTTGGTACAGTTTTCTAAAACAATTATCAAATCTATTTTTAATAAATATGGTATGACTACAGAAAATAAATCATTTAGCAATAAAAAGAAATACATATATTTTCAGAGAAAACTTAAAAAAAAAAAAAAACTCAAAATGGGGAGAGGAAAAGGAAAAATATTAAAAACACAATTTTCGTTATTTACATTTTTTCTCCATCTAAAACTATAATTTCAAGTGTTATTGAAAATGAGCCATTAATAAAAATGAGGAATATTTCAACTGCATATTTTAAACAGGTTCTGGAAAATGTGCACGCAAATAAATGTAATAACAATAAAATGAGAAAAACTAAATTAATTGGAATACAATAAAATGAGAAATAAATAATAACTATGACAAAATGAGAAATAATAATAATACAATAATTACAATAAAATGAGAAACAATAATACAATAATTACAATAAAATGAGAAACAATAATACAATAATTACAATAAAATGAGAAACAATAATACAATAATTACAATAAAATGAGAAACAATAATACAATAATTACAATAAAATGAGAAAAACTACACTAAATTTAACTCTTCGATAAAATGAGAAAAACGAAAATGAATAAGCTCAGCGCGGAAACTAGATTACAACCTCATCATGGTTTAAGCACAGTTTTATCTGTATCATACCATTTCATTTTTAGCGTTTTGTGTTTTCTTCTTGCTGATTTATACAGTTTTTACAAACTTAAAACAGCCTCTCGAAATCCAGCACAATCGATTATCCTTAATGAATGTTCTATATAATGACCGGGTTCAAATTACTAAATATTTTCTTAAAAAATTTACCTGATTTGGTAGTCTCCTACTATTTTCTTTAAGCAGCATTTAGCTAATGATTGTTTCTCCTTTACTTACTTATTTATTAAACTATTACCACTAGAGAAACCATAATCATGTTTAGTATTCCGTGAATATTAGCACCATCAAGGAAACAGATTACTGCACTTGACAATCGCAGGTTTAAAGCAGCTAAAATGGTAAAACCGTTTTTAGTAATTGTTTCCATACGCAATGATTAAATCTCTAACTCGGGTTTTGAATTCAAACATAGGCAAATTTCGTCATCTATTTTATAATCAAACAGCCAACAGATGTCTTCGCATAAGTTAAGATTTACAGACAGGGAGACTATTGACATATATTTGTAGGAAAAGATACAGTTAACTCACAGAAGGAACGAAACCTAGAAGGAACTCTTGTCGACAAAATTAAGATTTCAAGAAAGAAACGTATTATTTAAATCAGCGGACATCGCACGATTGTGTATTAAAACACCGTATTTTCTGCGTTGAATTCTCATAAAGCTCAGTAAGCAATCTACTTTTCTAATCGACTAAATTTATTCTGAGACACAAAATCAAAAATTAAAAACTTCCAGCCGTATAATATAGCCATGCGCCCTTAAATAACGTACAATTTTTCTCAACATCAATTTCTATGGGTTTATTACGTTAAAGAAATACGGTAGATGTACTGATGTACTACATAATCAATATTTTCAAGAATAATGTTTTCTAATGCCAAATTTTTTTTAGGTGTGTTTTATCTTTTAGTGATGTTAGGTGATGTTTTTTTTAGGTGTGTTTATATCTTTTAGTGATGTTAGGTGATGTTTTTTTAGGTGTGTTATATCTTTTAGTGATGTTAGGTGATGTTTTTTTAGGTGTGTTATATCTTTTAGTGATGTTAGGTGATTTTTTTTAGGTGTATTTTATCTTTTAGGTGTGTTTAATATTTAGGTTGGAAGATTTTAAAATAATACGATAATTAGTAGTAAATTTAACATATATTACAATAAGTAGAATTTTTATCGCAAATAAAAAATATCAAAACATAAAATACATAAATTAAAAATTACTGACAAAATTACCGATTTTGATAACCTACAGACTTGTAAAGCAATGCATATATTTTTCTTCAAAACTAAAGTTAATCTCTTTTCCTATGCCTGCACGTGTACGGGTTGTGTAAATTGTAAATATATCGTAGGTTATTTTTGCCGCATGAAGCTTTGATCACATGCTTTATTGAATTTCATTTGCGAGCACAGCTTGCGAAAGAAAATTCATGGCTATTGTAAATGACATTTTCTTACATAAAATCATAAAGTAACGTCCTTTATAAAAATACTTGAAAAAAATTAAAAATTGATAAAATTACATAATGATTCTAGTGTTCATTCAGTGCAGGAAAATCATTATAATCAGTAGCAATGGAATTAAGGCAGCAAAATTTTTAAATACGCCATACCAGAAATCCCTAATGAGTAAAATAAATAATATTGTAAGGGATTTCCATAAACTTGTAGCTATGTGCTTTTGGTCCGCCGTTTATTTGCCGCTAACTGAAAATTCAAATAATGATTTTTTTAAATTTATTTATTTATTTATTTATTAACTCCCAGTTCTACCAAACTTTCAATGTTGACTAACGTAACACCATTTTAATTCACATAAAATCTCTTTCTGATTCTCATTTTTCCCATGTTAATAAAATAGTTACATATAAAATTATCGATAAATCATAATTAGTACAGCAGTAAAAACATCTTTTTCTTTCTAGGCTTTAACTTTTACTTCACTCAATCCGCCTTTTATGTCTACCTTAAGATATTTTCACCCTCCTTCCAGCATGCCTTCGTGGTGTAATGGTTAGTACACTCGGCGCGTATTCGAGAGGTCCAGGTTCGTGTCTCGGGGAAGACATTGCTCATTTTTCATGTCTTCTGCTTCAAAATGTCCTAATGACTCTACGGTGGAGCCCGAACTAAAAGGTGGTGGATGATGATTCATCACCACCAGTATTTGGCAACTAGGTCCCCCCTGATCTCCAGTCGCCCTTTAAAAGGAGGAGTATATAAAGTACCAGAAGTGGACGCAGTCCGACTCGGGAGTATATAAGGTATTTTCTCCCTCCTTCCAGCATGCCTGCGTGAGGTAACGGTTAGAACACTCGGCGCGTATTCGAAAGATCCAGGTTCGAGTCCAGGCAAGGACATTGCTCATTTTTCATGTCTTCTGCTTCAATATAACCTAATAACTCTACACTGGAACTATATATACAAACATACATAGACACGGCTTTAACTAGGGATTAAGTTACCGCAAAAAAATTGCAGAAAAACAGATTTTACAAGTTACCGCAGTTACTTATTTTGCTCATTGATTACATTAAGAACATTCTTCTATTCGTTTATAACTAGAAGGGAAGGGAGGAAAGGTTAGTAATATTTTACAAGTTATTTTTTATTCCTATTAAAAACTTTCCTTTTCATACTTTTATTATAGCTTTTCAATAAAAATCTGATTGCTATGATTTGCTTAATATTTTACGTTAAATATGTGTTTTCACATATACCGTACTGGTGCTAAGTTACTGCATCATGTTACACACTTTACTTAATGTCGCTATAAAATTTCTCTGGGCCAGTGACTTCTCTCACTAAATATTTTATTACACTTAAAATGAAGCCTTTGGAAACCACTTTGCGTTTCGAAGGATATTTAATTAAATGCAGAATACCAAACAAGGAACTCGATAAATAATAACTATCTGTAATAAAAATGATACACTGTTATGATGGTTAATTTAAAAAGAATAAAAAAATAAAATATGAGAAGGTTAGGTTAGGTTAGGTTATTCAATTGCGGCAAAGCCTCGAGGGCTGCCTAAGGGGAGGAATGCATTCGTGGAGGACTTTCTAAGGGAAACTGGCTCGTATACACGTTACACATGGGGAAACCACGAAAAAACACATGCAGCCAGCCCGTTCGCGGCATTCGAACCTCGGACCGAACTACCAGCGTTCCGCTCGGCCGCTGGTGGGCATAAAAGCTGAGAACTTATGAAGCTAACTAATAGGAAATGGAAATTAACACTTGCTAAAAGTATTTGCAAAACAATATCTCACTGTATAAGATACGGTTTAGTTTTCTTATCGAATGTTTATTTGCAGAAAAACAGATGGAGAAACCGCAGCCGAAATAATAAACCCACGCTTACAGAAAAACACTTTGCGCAATCTCAAATTTCTAAATCCTCACGATATTAATCCTTATAACACCCAAAGGCAGTAGAAGAATCATATGCATTCTATAAGGTATTTCTCCCACTTCCCTAGCGTGCCTTCGTGGTGTAACGGTAGCACGCTGGGCCGGTATTCCAGAGGTCCGTGGTTCGATTCCCGGCGAAGGCGTTGTTAATTCTTCATCTTGTCTCTTTCTAAAAATTACCTAATGTCTCTACAGTGACGCCCGAACTAAAAAAAGGGTTGTGGATGATGATTCTCCGCACCCAGGATTTGGCGACTAGGTCCCCTTAAACCCTAGTCGCCCTTTAAAAAGGGGATTATTATAAGGTATTTCTCCCACTTCCCTAGCGTGCCTTCGTGGTGTAACGGTAGCACGCTGGGCCAGTATTCCAGAGGTCCGTGGCTCAATTCCCGGCGAAGGCGGTTGCATATATTTTCATCTTTTCTGCTTCCAATTAACCTAATGACTCTACAATTCTACTTTGCGTTCGGTAGATAACAGGTTTCAGGTAACTTATACCACACTTCTTAGAAATAAATATTTCAGAGAATCTTAAAGAAGTTAAGATTGAGTACAGCCGGGACAGCCTCCATCCGAGGTGATAGCCATATGGGGTTTTGATGCCCACCCGGATTATTATTATTTATATTTAAACT